GCCACCAGTAACCAGCTCAGGCCCAGGAGGCAGCAGCCAGCCCTGCCCCTGCACACACTCCAACCACTCCAGACACTAACTGCCCCAGGTAGCCAGCACAGACAGGCTGGGAAAAATAGCAGTGGGCCCCACAGCAGCACACCTAGTGGCCACCATTATATACCCATAGACAGCACTGGCCAGGAGAAACAGTCACACTTCAGAGAAATCATAGCTAATGCAGGAAGTACCTGAGAACACACTATCTGCTTATTTAGAAGAACCTGGGAAAATGTCAAGATGAAGAAGCAAAAGGCAGTCCCTGGACTCCAATCCAAGCAAAGCAATTCCAGGAGGTATAAACATGGAAGAGATGAGGAGTTGCACTCCTGAAGTTTCTGAAGTGATGGCAGCTGAAGTAAAGAAACAACTTCATGAGGCTATAAAAGAAATTAGAATAGAAATATAATCTCAAGTAAAAGAAGAAATGAAAAGCATAATAAAAAGAATTACTAAGTATTTTTAAAGAAGACATAGATTAAATAAATAGAGGAGCACAGGAAAATGAGAGAAACCACGAATGAACAATATAAGAGCGATTTAGAATACATGAAGCAGATTCAAAAGATATCCAGAAAATTTAAAACTCCATTGAAACCTGGCAAAACTGCTTGAAAGAAACTGAAGATAGACTTTCAGACCTTGAAGATAGGTGTGCAGCTTGCGATCATGAAAGGAAAGATCTTTTTAAAATAACAAGGAACCAAGAAATAACAATTCAACAGCTACAAGACAACACAAAGAAAATTTAAGAATAATAGGAGTCAGCAAAAAAAGGGATCAACACAAATGACATAAAAAGTCTATTCACAGAAGTTATAGCAGAAAACTTCCCAGGTGTGGGAAAAGAATATGACATTCAGATAAGTGAGACATATAGAACTCTCGTAGCCATAACCAAAATAAATCTACACTTAGACATGATAAGATCCCAGAAATTCAGCACAAGAACAAAATATTAAAAGCCATTAGAGAAAACTTATCACATGTAAAGGAAAACCCATCAGAATCACAGTAGACTTCTCAACACAAACCATCAAGTCAAGAAGAGCATGGAGTGAAGTATTTCAAGTCTTGAAAGAAAACAATTTCCAACCCAGATTGATGTTTCCTGAAAAACTATCTTTCAAAATTGATAGAAAAATAAGATACTTCCATGACAAAGACAAGTGAAGGGATTCATAACCACCAAACCAACCCTACAAAGAATACTGACAGACATTCTAGAGAGAGATTTTTTTTAAAGACCACAGTTCCAGGAACAGCAGCAGAGGGGGATCACCGAGCAGGGCATACAATTGAATGGAGGAGAAAAGTAGGCAGCCAATGGCAAGAAAATAGCATGGCAGAGATAATCAGTGCATGTTGCCCATAACCATTAATGTAGATGGCCTCAATTCACCAATAAAAAGAAAGAGAGAGTGGATCCGGAGACAAGATCCATCAATATGCTTTATTCAGGATACACATTTAACTCAAAAGGAAATTCATAGACTAAAAGTCAAAGGAAAGAAAACAATGCTCTATGTGACGGGGAGCCAGAAAAAAACTAGGGTCAGCTTGCCTATCAACTTCAGAATGGATAAGAAAGATATGGCATTTTTATACAGTGGAAAGCTACTCAGCTAGAAAGAAAACTTCAAGGCTCTTGTAGGTAAATGGATACAACTTAAGATCATGCTCAGGGGTGAAATGGTTCAGAGTCACAAGGGTGGACATCATGTTGTTTCCCTAGTATAAAAATCTAAAGGAGTTTATCCAAAATGCACAATAGATATTGTGAAAGTGAAAAGGAAGGAAATATCTTAAAAGGAAAGGCAGTAGCCATTGTTAATCTGTTGTCATGTTTTGAAACCCTGTATTATTTTCTTTGTTCTGTTTAGTTTGACTTTATTCTGTTTTGTTTTGTTTGATTTTATTCTATTTTTGGCATGGATAGCTATTTCAAAAATAACAAAATGTATTATGGTCGCTGTTATTGATTTCCTATTATCTTGTTTCAAATCTCTGTATTGCTTTATTTGTTTTCTTTTGATTGATTTTATTCTGTTTTGTTTGATTTTATTATGTCTTGTGTAGGAAGCTACTTTGAAGATAACAAGATGCATTATGGTAGCCACTGTTGTCTTCCTGTTGTCTTGTTTTGAAGTCCTGTAATTGCTTTCATTGTTTTGTTTTGATTGGCTTTATTCTGTTTTGTTTTGTTTGATTTTATTATGCCTGATGGTATGGGATGTTATTTTGAAGATAACAGGCATTATGGTAATCATTATTAGTTTTATTTTACTTTGTTTTGAAGTCTTGTATCACCTTCATTGTTTTGTTTTGATTGACTATTATTTTATCTCTTTCAAAATAAAATAAAAATTAAAAAATTTTTAAAAAGTAGAAAATTTTAACTTTAATGGTATTTGTCTTAACAGATTATGAAGTCTTCTTAGCTCAAAATTATTATGTTTCATCACTCTAACAGATTAATGTATACCTACTAAATTAAGGCTGATAAAATATGTATTTGACAAAGGTTTAATAAAGCAGGATATTTGAAGAACTACTCACTCATTTAAATGAGATCTTATATTGTTGTTGTACCTACAGGTTCCTCAATAGGAGTAGTATAGTACAAAGTTTAACAAACTATAACCAGGGAACCAGATTCAGCCCACTGCCTCTTTTTGTATATAAACTGATATTGGAACACAGTACATTCATTTACATTTTGTCTGTTGCTACTTTCATGCTACAATGGTGGAGTTGAGTTGGTGCAAAAGAAACTGTATGGCCCTCATAGCCCAAAATATGTAGCATCTGGACCTTTACATAAAAAGAAAATTGTTGACCTGGTAAAGTAGAAACCCTTGAACTAGGAAGAATAGTCAGTGGCCCTCAATTCTGTCTACCCTTGGTTGGCAGTGTCTTTAACATATTGCTAAGCTTCTCTGGACCAGTTTTTCCTATCTGCAAAATGAATGTCTTAACATAAACCATCTCTAATATTGACTCTCAAGCTGTAATAAAATGCTATGAAAATGTGAACTATTTGAGGACTATTTCATTGTTTTATATCATAGCTTTGCCTTGAGTATTTGTGGTCACTGAGTTTAGGGAACTAAACAAACAAAACCACTAGCCATAAGATAGACAAATAAGGAATTTGCTACTATTGTTTCAAAAGAATTTACCTCTCAAGACTTTTAAATAATGTTTCTCTAATGGTAAAAGTGTTTCACTACACTGGTAGTAATAGTTAGAATAGGCCTTAAAACATAAAACTAGCATGTAAAGAAAGAAACTCGGTTCAACTTCACTTGTTAATAAAAAAAAAGCATCTCTAAAATTCTAGTTTCAGTGCGTGGGAAACATGATTTCATACATAAAAATTCTGTTCCCACCTAAGTTTTAGGGAACATGTATAATATGTAAAGTGAAATAAGATTCTTCTGTGGAAAGAAGAACTCAGTATTCACTATTGTTTTTCAATATGGTTGCTGTAATTCTACATCCATATATTTCTGCATCAACCTTGGGCTTTTGGAAATCTAAGAAGTTCCCTATAATAATAACATCACAATTGTTTCTATTTTTTGTTCTTCCCTTTCTACAGTCTGTTTTTCAATTGCTATTTATAGAAAGTAACTCTAGGATGAATCCCCAGAAATAAACTTTGTAAACATGTATCTATATTAATGTTTTCATGTATTTGTTAGCAAATGCCTACACACATTAAGAAACTTAACTTCTTTTTTCAGGAAAAGTCAAGGGTTCAATAGGTAAAATTCAGCCCAAGACTGAAATGTACTTGTAGACTTAGACAGTTTCAGTGATTTGATACTTAAACTGCCTAAATGAACAAATCCATATAACCCACAAAAAAAGCTATGCTTGAGCTCTGCCTTTAATATATTGGTAGGACTAGTGATGATATACAAAGTGCTTTATAGTTTGCAAAGCACTTTCCTATACATTATGACTTTTGACAGTCCTGTAAAGTAAGATAAAATGTGTCAGATCTAATATTCTCAGTTTACAGATAAGAAAACTTTTAGAGAGGTTAAATGATGTAGTCAAGCAGGACCAGGTGGTCGGAAAGGGGAGAAACAGGGAGCAAACTCAGAAGTTGTATCATCCTTCCCATTTCCTGAAGCCTTAACTCCCATCCTTTTTCTACTCAACAGTTCTAAGGGAAATCAGGCATTCAATGTCCAAATAATCCTTAACTAGGACTCAGAGGTGACTATGCATATGGGTTAAGAGTCACATGTTGATTCTGATAAGTGACCTGATTGAAAATCCTTGTAAAAAGTCACATAGTCATTGTTAAAAATGGAAAGAAGGATAAAAAAGAAAAGTAACTCTTAATTCCACTACACAGCGATAATTGTTACTAATAGCATTCTCATGTATCTTCACTCTTTTATATTAACTTTTTTCCAAAAATGAAATTCTCACATAATTTATCACAGATATCTTTCCATTTCATTAAGCTCCCTTCTGTAGCATCATTTTGTAATAACTATAAAATATTCCATTATGCAGTATATGTTTGAATTCAAGAAATAATTAGTTCATACACTTTTGCAATTCACAGCAATGTCATTCTGGGATATGCATATGTAATTTATTTAGAGAAATTTTATTTTGATTTGGTTTGTTTTTTTTGTTTTGTTTTGTTTTGTTTTGTTTTTGAGACAGGGTCTCACTGTGTATCCTAGGCTGGCCTTGATCTCACAGGAATCCTTCTGCCTCAGCCTCCTGAGAGCTGGAATTACAAGCATATGCCACTGTACTTGGCTCAAAATTACTTCAAAAGCTACTTCGCTTCTAGCCAATATCTCGTATCTTCTCTTATGGCCAATATATTTGACTTTCTGAATAATCAGTAAGATAAATAACCATTTAAATAGCTTTTTGTATTTGTATTTGTTTGTTTTACTAATACATTTTTCATCTCTTTACTTTAGGGTGCAGTACTAGCTGCTGTGTCAAGTCACAAATTCAACTCGTTCTATGGGGACCCCCCTGAAGAGTTGCCAGATTTCTCTGAAGACCCTACCTCCTCAGGTAACTGGATAGTTCATTCATTCCCTATGTAAATTCCCTGGTGTCTGCATCCTTTCTCTTCCACTGTGAATAACCATTTTTGTGAGTTTAGTCAAATCTTCTAAGAGACTCTAGGGAAGTTTGCCAGCAACCAAACCCTACCTACATGTGTCTTGTTCCTTTTCATTGTAATTCTAACAATGTTCCAAAACCAGCATTTTACTTTTTTCTTTTTACCTCAATAATACTTCTTCCCCTTTCTATACTCCAGTCCCAGCATTATACTTCATCTAATGCAACACTGTATTCCAGGTTTTTTTCTGATTATTTTTCCTTTCAATAGAACTTCTGATACAAGATTTTTTCCCATCTCCACTGTATTAAATCAGACTTTGAGACAGCACTGCTTTGAATTAAATCTGTCAGTCTAAGACTGTCTTGTGATTTTTGTTTTGAAAGAGTTACAAAGTTTTCTCCATATAAATTCTATAAATCATATATGAAAAAGCAAGAAATTACCTGTTTGATGAACTGTTTATGGGTACTCCTGAAAATAATCTGCTAGTGTTCATAAAATCATTTTATAAAATGCTCATAATGAAGCATCCCCAGGCATCATTTACTAAAAGTTCATAGGATACATTTATGTGCATATATATAGATAATGTATGTTTGGGTTTTTGTATTTTCTATGTATTTCCTTATTTACCTAATTCCTGAGTTCTCTGTCCTCTGGCCCAAGCTTTCTTTCTTTCTTTTGTTAGAATGTCTCAGTATTTGTCATGTGGTTGACTTTGCACTGCTGGTCTGATTTTTGTACTTGCACTAGTTTCTTCAATGTTTATGTATTATCATTGGAAGTATAGCCAGTGGCCATTCCTAAACTGTGAGCTGTTTGTCCTGTAGTCAGCAATATAAGAATGAATGTGCTAATACAACTTCTCTGCTGGGACCAGGAGCACCTTTCAGTATTTATGCTTCTCTCCTCCTCTGTTTATCCATTTATATGTACATAAACACTGAGAATTTCTTACCTATTAATACATGACTGCCTCTTCTGCAAAATGACAGGATCAAGCTTCCCATTCCAACTGGTATATAAGTCTAAACAGTCCTTGTTTTAACTTTTACTGATTGGGATATGAATCTTCTTCTTGAGAGAAGGTAGTTTCTGAAGCATTCAGAAATGGGAATTTTAGACAAATGACTAAAAAGCCTTTCTGTCTTTCTCTCACACTGCCCTATAACTATGCAGAGCCCTACTGTATGAAAGGGAAGGACATGGGTGTGTTTATGGGCATGGTCTCCAGTGTTCTATATCATTTCGTCTCAATCTTTTTTTCCTTTCAGTATATTTTGTTTCCTCCACCTATAATTGTTTATTAGCTCTAACTTTTCTCTTTTATCTTCATACTCAGATTATAGTTGACCCTATTTAGGGGGAGTGGAGACAGTAATAGCTTTCATGCTCTCCTGTGACTGTATGATATAGTCAGATGCTTGAAATATATTTAAAATAAATGTCTTTGAGATTATAGGTTCACATCTCTGCTATCATTTTCACCTCTGCAAATGAGTCTAGAGAGCACATGACCCATGCAAATTGCTCCATAGACCTAATCTTCAACGTTGACCACCAATTAATATTTGTCTCTGTAGCAAAGATTTAATAAATTCATAAGTATTCTTTTCTGGGAAGAATTAGATTTTTCCTTTAGAAAAAGGAAACATCTGTATTTTATAGACATATTGACTTTCTATTAACTGTATTTTATTGCCCAGTTTTTTCTCTTTTTCAGTACAATCTTTGAATGATTTGATTGAAATAGTTTCCAATTAAAGCACTTGATTATTAGACAAAAAAGAAATTTCATATACCATTTTACAGATAGTCTGCAAGCTCTCGTTATGATTGTTTACAAATTAGCATTCCTTCTTACATTCCCTTTCCTATAGTCATACCCTGTTTCTTTTGTTTGTTTGTTTTTCCTTTTTTTTTTTTTTTTTTTTTTGAGACAGGGTCTCACTCTGCAGTTCAGAATGGCCTTGAACTCACTTTGTAGTCCAGGCTGGCCTCAAACTCACAGCAGTCTTACTGCCTTATCCTCCCCTGTGTTTTTTCTTTTTCTTAATTCCTGAATCAATTATTTTTAAGCAGTCTATATTTCCATTTGACATACTAAATGTCTGTCATAAGCTTTTCAGTGGTGCTACAAATAAAAGATGGAAGAATTAAAATGCTGTGTTTACATCAAACACTAATTACCTCTAATCACCTACCCTAAATGAAGCAGAAATTTTTATATATTCAGAAGTCAAAAACAAAGAAAATTTTTGAAGAAAATGCTAATATTTTCCTAAATTTCACATAGCTATTAGGAATTATTGATACATTCCTATAAGTTAATTTTTAAAGCTAAGCCATTTAAAGGAAGGTACCCTACTATTATAATCAGCATTAACTGTCAAATAGTTACCTACTAGCAAATATACTTTTCTCCAGCCAACAGTAGTAGTTATATGGTTGGTTGCAGAAAGCCAATTATATGTTGTATCTAGACTTATAAAACTTTTCATTTTCATAAATTAGAATAGCTATATGTTCATTTATCATTGTTTTTCATACCATTCTTTAAAGTTTTTATTTTCAAGCCTAAATTCTTCTCCATTCATACCAGTATCTAAAGTCTGCACCATTTATTTTTTTTTAAGTTCCCAAAGTTATCTTCCAGTATTTTTCTGTTTAAATTTCTGTGGATTTGTTTTATGTAGAAAATACAAAGCATTTTTCATCATTATTTAGCCAATGGCAAAAAGAAAAAAATGATCACAGAACATGGGCTCATAGAGTGAGACTGTAGGGAAGAGGGAGGGTTAGAAAGACAGAGAACAAAGTCAGGTCAGCAACCTCCGTTTCTTGAGATGAACTATCTTTGTGTTTAATCTTTAGATAATGTTCTTTTATTCTTCTTATGAAATGACAGTGATAGGTAGGTCAGTGTTTTAAATGACCTTGCTTGGCAAAGTTAATAATTTACAATCCTAATTTGGTCTCACAAAATTTATTTAAATTCTACTGACCTATGAAATCTCACTTTGAGAAGCATAGTAAAGCTGCCTGTGCATAAAATACAGCATATTGTTTCTGAAAATTAAATCTCATATAGTAATGAGCAATAAATTACTTTATGCATTTAGGAAAAAAGAATATTTAAAAATCACAGTTTAACAACTAATAAGCTTCCCAATTTGTCATCAAAAGAAAAGTCAAACATATTTAGGTATGGCACTGATAGTGTAAAAACATTTTTAATAAAAGATGTTTTTCTATTTTTAAAATTGAAATTCATCTATTATGCATTTACTAGAATGCATTTTGTTTAACAGTGTACTGTTGCTCTATTACTTAATAATTCTAAGTGGAAATGATTCTGTTCTCATATTTCAAATCAGAGAAGTCAAATTAGAACCCAATATTTGATGTCTGATATCCTAAGTAGTCCTAGCAATTGTGCTTATGGAACATGAGGGCTTCCTTTGGGGTCAGCTGGGGAACTGTGCTTCTTGTGGCTCATCTAGTGAGCCCAACTGTGGCTTGATAACTTGCTTGCTCTAAAATCATACTGTTTGTTGTTTGTCCATATGCTGCCTTCCTCCTAGGACTTCTAGCAGCAGAAAGTAGGTATCCCTTTGTTTTCCTCTAAGGTTTATCTTTTATGCAAAAGTGTTTGGCTTTGCATGGTTCATACTCAGCTTCACTTTTTCCTTGGCTGTTAATGTTTAGACGTTTAAATATGAATTTTAACACTGTCTGACCATAACATAACAACCTGGATATGTCAATTTTCTGAGGTATTGCTACAAAAGTAATATATTAACTTTACCTTGTGTCATAAAAAGAAAAAGAGGCCGTGTTAAAATTTCAGCCATATTTAATAATATTATTTCCCATCTGAATTTCAAACACAATACATTAATTCTGGGGAAAGGGTAACATTTTATTTTATAGTTTGCTTTCAAGAAAACTTTCAGGGTAAGTGAATTTTTCTTTGACAATTATATAAGTGGATCTTTATTACTTTATTACTTTCTATTACTGAATGTAGTTTCAGTTTATTAATGTGGAGCTGTGATATACACTCTGAAATCATGTCTCTTAACCTTTGCTATCAGACATTTATAAAAAAGAATATGATAGCTAGATTTTAATTACAAAGGGATACAATTTGAGTACTGTACGTCAGAAAATTAAAATGTAAGAACTATGTACATACAAGTATAAGTAAAACTGAGGCAATAGGGGCAAAATGAGTAAATTGTATCAATTTCAGTGTTCTGATTATAATATTCTACAGTTGTAAATTGTTCCCAATAGAGAAGCTAAGCCAAGTATACTAGGAATCACTCTGTGTTCTTATAAACACATGTGAATCTACAATTGTCTCAATAAAAATTTCAATTAAAAATAAAATATTTACTTCAAAATTAGGTTTAGCAAGATAAAAGTAAATAAGAGACAAAGACAAAGTAGAAAATCTGGGTGCTAATGATAAAATTTATTGTCACATTTTCTTGCATGAGTTATTTGTAGCTTAAATTGTAGTTGATTTAATACAAAACTCATAGTATATTGGTTCTCTATTGCTATGTAGTGAATTACCTCAAGGTAATGTTTATCACCTCACACTGTCTGTAAGTCAGGAATGGGGGTGTGGTTTAGCTGAGTGTCTCTGCCACAAGATCTCTGTTGAGACCAGTCCAGAGCTACTATCTCCCATTGAGGCACCACTGCAGAGAGGTCTTCTTCTAAGCTCACTCATGATTATTGATAGGTTTAACTTCCTCCCCAGCTGTATGCCTCTCTGAAGGACTTCAAAACATAGCAACTTGATTGCCTAGCACTGATAATCAAAGAAAGGGTAAGAATGAGAGAATGCCTAAGACAGAAGACATAATCTTTATACTGAAATGACATCCTATCACTTCTGTCCCATTCTGTTCATTAAAAGTAAATCAATGAACTCAACCCTCTCTCCAAGGGAAGGAATTGACCACACGAGGACAAGAACACCAAGAGTAAGGATTATTGGGGGAAGGAGGATCTTAGAAGCTGCCCACCCCACCTACATACAAAGCTAAAGACTCCTCCCTCTTCCTCTCTCTTTTTTCCCCTCCCTCCCTCTCTTTTTCCTCTTTTTTTTCTCTCTGTCTCCCTCCCATCAACCAGACCTGTCATATCACTTGGGAATACCATCTTGGAGTTATCGGTAGTGTTTTTCCTTAGTTGTAAAGCTTTACACAAACAGGCACTCTATTAGTTAGCTTTTCTGTTGCTGGGACACAATACCCTACACTCACACATCAGTGTAGAAGGAGGAAAGATTTAATTTGGCTTATGGTTTCAGTGGATTCAGTTCATGGTCAGCTGACTCCAAGGAACATGTGACTGAGCAAAGCTGCTTAGTTCTCAGTGGCCAGGAAGTAGAGCAGAAGCATATGGCCAGAAAACAGAGAGCCAGGTATCACATATAGTATCTACATTCTGACAGAATACATAGCTAGAGTTTATTTCCTTAAACTAATAAACTTTAAGGCATCTGTACCATAATTTGTATAAAGAAGCTAAAATATTTATCACCATGTGTTAAGTTTTCATAATTTGAAAAGCCAAATTTGCAGGGGCTGGGGATTAGCTCATAGGCATAAGCACCTGCCTTGCAAGCAGGCAGTCGTGAGTTCGATCCCGAGTACCGATAAAAATGAAAAAGACAAAAAAAAAAAAAAAAAAGAAAAGCCAAATTTGCTTTGTGAGTGGGAATAAAAGCTGTTGACTAGAACTGGAGATGGGAAAAGTTATTGACTACAAAGGGACAAAAGGGAACTTTTTAGAGTGCTGACACACACTTAATAAAATATACCTTTGTAAGCAATTTTTTTAAAATGTTACTGCACTTGCCTAGAAAAGAGCTTTGGGTGTTAAGCATGTGTGTGTAGTGTTACAGTGTTAGATTAATGGGTCAGTAATATAGGAAAGAAAGGTTACTGATTACGGTTGAGAAGCTAGACTAGATTCAGGTGCTAGATTTGCTAATGATACTAGGCTTCATACCTGTACATATAATTTAAGAAATGCACACAAATCTTTATTGAATTAACTTCCAGGAAAACAGATGCTTCAAAACTTATTGCATGGTACACTTGAGATTTGTGTGTTTCTCTCCATGGAAATTTTACTTGAGTGAGAGGAAAAAGGATTGAAATCTTTGCTGAAGCGTTTGAGGTTGAAGTGGCTGATGTGAGCCACTCTATCATTTCCTGTGAAATGAACAAAAAAATAAGGTGAAGTGATCATGGATAACTGGATAGGCTTGTAATAAAGCAAAACAACAAACTGCTAACAATTAGAGGACCTCAATAGTAGTTACTTTTCTTTTGATCTTTGCAGATGCTTGGAATTTTTCCTGATAAAATGTAGGAAAAAAGTTTTAAGAAACTCAGCCTATTTTGAAACTGAGAACTTTTCAAACATTCTACTGTTTATTTTTCTGTCCTCCTTTCAGGTTATTTTTATTCATTCAACTTTTTCATGAGCCTTTTACTGACTTTAAAAACATGTTCTTTTTAAAAATATTTTTAAAAACCAGTTGACATATTTATGCTTTTAAAAGTATTATTTTGGGGCTGAGGATTTAGCTCAGCGGCATAACCACCTGCCTTGCAAGCAGGTGGTCCTGAGTTCGATCCCTGGTTTTGTTTTGTTTTGTTTTGTTTTGTTTTGTTTTGTTTTTGTCTTTTTCGTTTTTATCGGTACCAGGGATCGAACTCACGACTGCCTGCTTGCAAGGCAGGCACTTATGCCGCTGAGCTAAAAGTTCGATCCTTGGTACCGATAAAAAAAGAAAAAGACAAAAAAAAATTTTTTTAAAGTATTATTTCATAATAGTGATAAAACTTTTTGAAAAACTTGTTTATATCAGTAAAATTCTTTGAAAAAGCAAGAGTGTTCAAAGTAAAAATGCACAATTATCAACCTGACTGGTAGATACAAACTTGATTATCAAATGGACTATGCAAAAAGTATCAGTCAAGTACTACTCTCAAGGCAGGATATAATTACAGAAGTAATACAGGAGTGATTTGAAAATAACATGATCAGTGTAAAAGTTTGGACTAAGGGCTAGAAAAAAACTTTATATAGTAAGTAATATTAAAGAGAAAATAGACATTGGACACACCAACTGCAGATTACTCCAGTGTATTTCTGAGAGTAAAATAACATTTTTAGGGAGGACATTCTGGGAATACCAAAGTAGGAGTAAAAGACCTGGTTCCTAGGATTCAGTATTCTGCTCACTGCTGTGGCCTTTAGATAGATCATGTAAGCCTACAGAGTTTTCTAGGTAGAAAAACATTTGCCTCAAGATAGGGTTATTATAGAGTCACATAAAGTAGTCAGTAAAACAGTTCTCTGGAATTTTGTTTTTGTTTTTTGGGGTTTTTTTTTTGTTTTTTTTTTGGCTTTTTCTTTTTTATCGGTACCGGGGATCGAACTCACGACTGCCTGCTTGCAAGTCAGGTGCTTATGCCGCTGAGCTAAATCCCCAGCCCCATTCTCTGGAAATTTTAAACTGTTATATAAACATTAGCATTAAAATAATTTTCATTCTGACTTTAAGAAAGCAATGCTATAAAATATGAGAAATTGTTTTCTGTTGCTTTGTTCTGGTACTTTCTTCAGAATTTGCTCCAGAAAATCATTTTCTCTGAGTATCTCTATATGAAGTACCTTTTTTACTAAGTACTCTACAAAGTATAGCCCAGAATAGAATACAAACAGAATAGCTACAGTCCTGCCATTGAATAGACTTGTGTACTGTTTATTGATTGATTTTTTTGAAAGCCAGATGTGATAGAACATTCCTACAATCCCAGATCTCAGGAAGCTGAAGCACAAATTCTCTACAAGTTTGAGGCCAGCCTGAGCTACATAGCAAATCTAAGGCCAGCCTGAACTACCTAACAAGACTGTCTCAAAAACAAAACAAACAAGCAAAAAAAGAGATAGCTTATTCAATGGTTTTATGGAAAAGGCATCCTTCTCAGTATTTGAGAAAAGTGAATAGTTCTTTCATACACAATGATACTGATCTACAAAATGAATACCAGTAATAGTTTCAACTGCAATGTAGAGGAAATAGTAGTTTAACCATCTTGATATATATATATATATATCAAGATGGTTAAACTACTAGTTGCTCTTAATTCACTGAAAAGAAAGTTATTGTTTGGACAATTAAATGCCTGTATTGTGTACTCTGAGTAATTTAAAGATAACAATACACAATGTATTAATAATTGTTACTCTCCAATTATCTTGCTTTGAAATTTTATTTTTTCTCTTTAAAATAAAATTTTAAAAAATAAACTACAGTATTATATATTATGTATGTACATGTGTGATGTATTAATTTTCATTACTTCCAGTGTTTAAAGTCTGAAACAAATAGCAATAGAAAACCTCCAGCAATATTTTATGCCTATTTATATTTTACAATGAATTGAAAACTGTGGAACTTTTAGACACACTTGATACTGAGCTGCAGATGTCAATTATATATGTCTATCCAACCAAGAGTGTGTTCTGCAGTTCTGATAGTCACACACAAAGAAATAATGGAACTAGATGAGGTGTTAAGAAAGGTGTTTAAATGGTCAGCAGTGAAAAAAAGATTTCAAAATTAGGCCAAAAATACATGTTTATTTGATTTACAAAATGAAGGAGAAATGGAATGAAAACTGTAATTTTCCTACCTAATTATAGAAACTTAAAAGTAGGGGCAGTTTTCAGAGCTGAAAATAGGCAAGTTGAATGCAACTAGAGAAATACTTCCTTTTTTGATTCAGAACTCACTAACTTAATCACCTCTTATCCAAGATAAGACTATAAGTCAGTATAGAAGAAGTGACAGATCAAGGAGGTTTGGGAGAGGCTCCTGGAAATAAAGATGCTTGCGTGAATTGCTTCCTTCCAGCATCCATTCGGTGCGCCCACACACACAGAACACAACCAGGGAAAGCAGAGGTGCCCCTAGGCCACCACTTGCTTTTCACTTCTGCTGTACCATTTACTTAAGGGCATAGTATGCCTACTGCACATGCCCACATAAAAGCTCCTTCCTCGTGGCCAGGGATTATGTCTCTGTCTTTACTAAAGCCCCAGCCTAGTACCTGGAAAAACGGAACATCCAATAAAAGTTCTGTTTATGGTCTGACCCAAAGGGGCTTTGTTCAAGTTCTCGTCCAGCTTCCATATCCACGCATTAACCATAGCTCTTTCTGGAACCCCTTTCCCAGTGTTTCTTAGCACAGCCAAATAGTGCAGTAAGCAGCTCCACCACCTTCTAGCTGCGATCTTCCTAGACCCTTCTGAACCCCAGTACCCTGTCTAGAAAGGCAGAATAATATGTCTGCCTTACTGTGTGGGCCTGATGATGTGCCTGGAACATAACAGAGAGCACTGAAAAATTGGGAGCTGCTATTAGTATGTCTCCTTTAAGACTTCATTCAGAGGATACTTTATGGATGTCATAAAATGAATAAAACATAGACCTGCTTCAAGAACCTTACAGCTAAGAAAAAAAGAGTGACCAAGTGAACATAGAAGTCACCTGTGGAGTGTGCCAGTGGGACAGGATATGGCACTGACCACATGGGGAGTTCACAGACTGGCAGGTGATCCATCTCTGGTCAGGTATAGCCAGAATTGTTTTCTAGTCATCATTCAGGCCATCTTAGCATTTGCTTAATACAGGACTGGTTTTGCTGTAATCCTATATTATTAATAAGTTCCTGCTGGATTACGTATCAGCACAAGTTCTGCTGCGTACAAACAATAAAAACTAGGTAAGGTTTAACTGAGAGAACTGAATGAAAATAATAATTAGGTATCTGCATTACCTGTTGACTTTTTAAAACTATGCCCACAACTTGTGTCATTAGTATTTTTATTATTGTAGGTTCTTATGAAACAGAAGTTTCATAAGAATTGGATTTAATAACATGGTAAACCTGGTATCATTTAATTCTACCGTTGGTGATATGCTGGGTTCAGAGGGACATTTAGGGCTAATTTCTTCAGACCTCTTGCTTTCCAAGGCTTCCAATAAGAGGTGAATACAGAGTTGGCTTTGAACTAATTTCCATGTTTTTTTCTTTCTACTTCAAACAAAGTAAAGCTTTTGAAAAGAGCAGTTAAAAGGAAATAAACTACATTAACACCTCTTGAGGAACAACAGGAGAGATGAAGACTAATTTCTTCTTCTATCTTTTTTGTCCCATTTAATATCCATTTACTATTTCTGATAAAAAAATATCAATAGCTTTCCAGGCATAATCATTCAAAATTTAAAATTACCCATAGTTATTTCAACAGATTTTCATCTGTGAATCAAATAAACTGCCACATCCATGCCACGGACTACCCAGTAATAAAAAGGAATACTCTGTTAATACATGAAACAGCCTGAATACATCTCCAGAGAATTAAGCTGGGAGAAAACAAGGCAAGCCTAGCTAAGCATAGTGATGTACACCTATAATCCCAGCATTCAGAAAGCTAAGGCAGGAGGATCACCACAAGTTCAAGGCCAGCCAGGAATACATAGTGAGACCTTGTCTAAGAAAACAAAACTAAACTAAAAACCCAAAATGTTACATACTATAATATGATCTCATTTATATAGAATCCTTCCGATGACAAAATCATAGAAGTAGAGAATAGACTAGTAGTTGCTAGGGTTCAGAGAGGATATGATGGGAAGGAAATTAGTATAGCTATAAAAGGACAACATAAAGGATCCCTATGAGACATCCTGTGGTTTTACTATATCAGTGACAGTATCCTGTTTTTCATATTATACAACAGTTTTTGCAATATGTTACTTTTGGAGGAAACTAAATAAAGGGTGTATTAAGAATTTTTTTACAAATGCATGTATATCTTGTCATTTCAAAATAAAAAGTTAAATATTTTTAAATATCCACAGTAAGTTCATATGGATACACGCATGATTTGTGGCTTAAGCACAAAATCTCTAATATAACTAAATAGTGCTGCAATAATAAGTAGTTTATAAAGTGGTTTCTTGTTTTGGGGGGAGCTTGCTAATTTACAAAATTTGCAGCATATAGACAAGAACGGGAATGAAGTACTAGTAGGTAAATAAAGATAACTACTAGTCTTTTAGTATATTTCATTCTGGTTTTTTCTTGATTTTATGTATATATTTTATTTGGTTCTTATAATTTGAAACAGAGTATGTGTGGTTCTGCATTATGTTTTGTTGGATTTTATATCGCAATGATTTCCCTAGATCTTGAAAATTTTTCAAAAACAATTTTCATTCAGCTACATATGCCATGTCCTATAATGTGTCATTGTCTTAGATTTACTTTCTATTTTATATGATAAATATCCTTATTTATCCTCTCCTATTTTTTCCTGAAGGTAGGTTTTTGTAAGTAGAAATCAAAATTACTATATCAAAGCACATGAGCCTTTTTAAGGCAGTTTGATCTATTTACCAGATTGTTTTCTGGAAAAATGTTACTGATTTACATTCTAACCAATAAGCATATGACAGTAGATAAAGGTGTATGACAGGAATGAGAAACAGCATAGAGTTCCAGATGTTTTGGAGAGATACTGGGAATCAAACTCACAACCTCGCAGTTTCCAGGCAGGTTTTGTGCCACTGAGCTATATCCCTAGCCCTCTAGAAGGTAACTTTATCTTTATCTAAAACAGGATTTTCCTGTCTGAGCACTACCGACATTTTAAGCTAGATGATTCTGTGTTGTGGGGTGCTGTCCTAAGCACTATGGGATATTTAGTAGTGTCTCTAGCCTCTGACTGATATTGTGGAAATTAAAAATACCAGTATCTCCAAACTTTGTGTCTGTGTATGTATGGGATGTGCGTGCATGTGTGTGTGTGTGTTTCACTGGGGATTGAAGCCAGAAGGTTTGCCCTAAGCTACATCCTCAGCCCTTTTTCTTAAGTTTGCGACAAGGTCTCACTGATTGCTAAATTGGCCACAATGGGCTTGAGTTTATGATCCTCTTGCCTCAGACTCCCAGAGTGTTGAGATTATAGGTATGTGCTACACCTGGCTGTCCAGTCTTTTAAGATAAATGTCCCCTTGAGGAGAAAAAATTGCTCCTGATTGAGAACCACTAATCCAAAGATTTAAATGTGCAATGAAGCACTTAATCTTAGACTTCTCTGGTATATACAATTGTTCTGAAGTTAGCCTCTTGGATTTTCTTATGGAGTATAAAAGTGTTTAATGTCTACAGAGTACAATAAGCCAGTCATTTCCTTAAGGCTAAGTAAATGACTTGGGTGCTCCTCAGTATGACTCTTGCCTTGTTAATCCTGCAAGTACCCTGGTTATAGAAGGAAATGTAAAGAATCAACACTTCTACTCACTTTGCCCCACAAAACCGGATTGCCTTGAAATTGAAGATGCTAGTTGGACATGCTCATCAGTATATCTAGCTTTGATCTTTGTCTTCTGAATAAGAAGAACGTGACAGAATGGAAATGACTTTTGTTCTCTTGGCTTTGTACGTAATGATGAAAAGGAAAGGAATGATGTAGAATTTTTATTAACTAAAATTGAGTCCTTAAAAGTCCTCCGAAGTTTATTTTAAGCAGCAGGAACTCCCAGTTGATGATTTGGTCCCCAAGATCTACAGCTGGCTGTGCTCTCAGTTCATGAGAATGCCCACCTGTGTTTCTGTAATACTGTAAGACACCCTGGTGTCCTGATATTCAGACTTTCTGATATACAGCTTGCTGTTCCCTAATCATTTGTTTGCTCAATTAGAGTTGGCGAATCTTTGAAATTCAAAGAACACATTCTTCAGTTTAGTTTTTAAAATGAAGAGCACAAAAATACATCGTTGAGAATATAAACTCAGTGAAAACACTCTGTCTTTAAATGACATGAACAACTCCTTTGAGCTTAGCCTTTAAAATTCTGATGTTAGTTCATTGTTCTTAAAAGTAAGATTACAATTAACCTATTATACAGGTTAGTTTAACACTGACTTTCTGTACTAGCTGTCTCTGTTCTTTTGGTTCCTTAGGAGCAGTCTCACAGGTGCTGGACAGCCTGGAAGAGATTCACGCACTTACAGACTGTAGTGAAAAGGACCTAGATTTTCTACACAGTGTTTTCCAGGATCAGCATCTCCACACACTGCTAGATGTAAGTCTTGTTTTCTTGGGTTTTTTTTTTTTTTTGGTAAGGTGAGTATTTAGCATAAGTTTTTACTTTACATTAATTCTCAGATATCCATTATAACAGTCCTTTTTCACTTGCCTTATACTTATGAGAAATGTAGAAAAATCATCCAACATAGATTCAGAATTGAAATAAAGTAAGTGTGTAGTGCAAAGGCAGTATACTCTTAACAGTGGAAAACTATATGTTTATAATTATATATGCATGCAAGTGATATATTAGTTTTTTAAGAGGGTAGTACAACTATAATTTATTAAAGTATTTGTATTCTATTAGAAGAATCCTGATTTTAACTGTGATTGCTTTCTATTGACTTTAAATCTCATTTTAAAATATTATGCCTTAAGCATAAGTATAGAAGAGAAAAAATTAAATAAGATATTGTGTGTCTGACTGTATTCACAGATTTCACATTTCACATCACTGGGTTTCAAGACTCAGTGTCTTCTCCTTGAAAGACTATATTCCATCATATGACAGGTCCATTGACAGCACATTGAAATCCAGAGAAAAAACAGAAGCTGACCAGTTGTGTCCACCTTCAGTTCATTCACAGTTTGAGTAAAATACCTCAGCCAACTCTGTTCATTTAAGCAGTATAAACTTTCTTGAGTGTACACATGTTAGTCATTTTATAAGAAAAACTCTCCCAAACAAGTACCTAGAACTATCTAGTGCTAATTCATCTACTATATGATGCAAATTTACACCAAAGTAAAATTTTCCTGAATTTACTCTGTAGTAGCAATGGGAGTTGCCCTGGTGCCAGGGGGTAGTAGATCTTAAGTGACTGGCTAAACTATTTAGTGACTAAACAGGTTTGGGAAATGCTACATTCTTTAGTCCCTTTATACAAATTCACAGTGGACATTATGGACAGCTCTGAGAAGTCCTAAAGCAAAGAAACCTGTTGAACTTTGTTAACAGCTTTTCTCAAACTAACTCAGGCACAGATCATTTATTCACAATTGTGATGAGCTCTGTTTGGATTAGGATCAATTGGAGAAAACTAAACTAAGAATGTTTCAGCTTCACACTGTGTAGTTCTAAATTTCTAACAGCTGCCTCTCACCATCAATTTGGTCACTTCAAAGTAGTCATCAGATTTCCATAGGTAGTTTGGGTTTTTTATGTAGTGCATGTGTTGGTTAGAGCTAACTAAATGCTGTAACGTGCAGTTCTAAAATTTGAGTTCTTATCAGAATAAAAGCTTATTTCTTGCTCATCTTACAATACAATGGCAGCAGGTAAGGAGGTTCCACAAAGTCATTCAAGAACCAAGGCCTCTTCCGTTGTATGCCTCTGCTGTCTACCAGTATCTTAGAATCTTCTGCTGTATCCCTTGCATCCATCCAGCATAAGAGAGAAGAAAAATCATGGATAGTTTTGCAGTATCAATGTTGTAAATTGGCTACATCCCTTTTACCCACATTATATTGGCAAGTATTAGTTCCATGCCTAATATCACTAACCTAGATGCAAGGGAACTGGAAAATATAATTTAGAAACATTTTCAAGAAGATAAAGAATTGAATCTCTTCTTTAGTGTAATTTATCTGAAGTAGTTTGAGGAACATTTATTTTAAATAGCTACTAAATACTAAATATTTTACCTTCCTTGGACACCAAAAAGTCCTTGAAATTAATTCTGTTTTGTGACTAGCTCAGTAACATTCCATTGTCACAGTCTCTTTCAAAAGCAGCAGCATTACTATTATTGTTATGCATTATTTGAATTATAATTTGACTTCTATTTATTGGCTACTTAAACATCTAGTGCTCAGTATAATCGCTTCATATAATGCTGAAAGTTTTCATAATTGTGAATCTCCCACAGAAGCCCAGGAGAACAAGCGCAGTTAGGAAAACTAATTAGTGGGATATTTAAAAAGAGGATATAGCAGTGTCTAGAGATTATATTTCAGTATAGTCAGTGATTTGGTCATTGATGAGTAGATTTGCTGTTTTATTTTGGGTTTTTTTGTTTTATATCAAGGACTTTTTGTAATTTAAAGGTTCCAAGAAGCCCAAATTGTTGTAAAAGTTGTATTTTTCTTACCAGGGTAAAAGATGCATGTCTTAGTTACTTTCTTGTGGCTGGAACCAAATACTCAACACCTACAAGTTAAAGGAAAAAAGGTTTGTTGTTGCTCACAGTTTGTAGAGGCTTCAATCCATAGTCAGCTGGTTCCAAGGCAAGGTGACATGACAGAGGGAAAACAGTTCGTAGCAGGGTAGACAGTAATTGGAACAGCAAGAAGAGATAAGAAGGATAGATATATATAAATATAGATATCCTTCCAGGCCACACCCATGACCCACCTTTTCCCACTAGGCTTCACATTCCAACATCACACCCAGCTATAAACTCATCAGTGGACTAATCTAGTGTCACATACCCATGGTCCAGTCAGCTCCCAAAAACCCCACCTATGAGCTCGTGAGTCTTTGTACATAAGCCGTAACAGTGTTTAAGCACACCAAGCATGAGGCTTCAGGGGAGATACAAAAACACTGCTGGCTTGTGCAGAGGGACAGATATTTACACACAAATTGGGCCTTTCCAGATGCATTTATTCCCTGATACAGAACTTCTCAGACCTCAGTAAAAACATTATTTTTTAGTAATTTTTATGTTTGGTAAAAACTGTCATAATTTCAGAAGATATCCATAGATTTTAGTGAGGAAAAAATACTTAAATTTCCTTTGGATTCTTTTGAATTATAAACCTAGAGAAGTGTCTGCATTATCAAGCCTCTGCCCTGTCAATATAGCTCAATTTTGTAAAGAAGCTATTGGACTGAGAATGAACCCTGCCCATTATAAAAGACAGGGCATCAGGCTGGGGAAGTAGCTCAGAGGTAGAACACTTTCATAGAATGCACAAGGCCCTGGGTTCCATTTCCAGTGCCAGAGAAAACTAAGACACAATGTCTTCTGATTTTTGGAGACAAGTGTCACCTAGGGACTCCAGAGATGTCCTGAATATGAGCTGACCCTAGGCAGTGTTTGGATATATGTGGTTCTGAATATCCAAACTAAGACATCCTTAAATAAAAACTTAATCATTATGAATGACCTAAGCCATGATTGGTATATAGCCGTATGCCATATATCCTGTAAGATTTATTAAGCTCTTGTTTCATTGCTAAAAGGCTACATTTCAATGACATAATGAAGGCAATATGCCAGTGACTGGCATTCTTAAATGCTTATGGTATACATTAAAGAGGAAACCCAGGCATGACCAACCTTTTAGAAGAAATGTTTCAAACTTTGATCATCCATTTTTCTTTCTTTTATGTTCCATATCCCATGCTTGGTTTCAGATAATTTTGTTTTACAGAATCAAAATGTATTCCAGGTGGTAGCACCAAGTGGCATTGTTTTGTGGGCCTGCATTGATTAAGGTTATTTAATCATACTGAGCCACTTTGTAAAATATCTTTATGTTTGTTATTCCTTTTAGTTCAATAGCACTATTATCCCTAAAATTGAGACGATAATATTTAAGCTGACAAAGAGAAATAAGAAATGTTCCTAGTGATAAATAAAGATCATCCAGGACTGTTTTTTCTAGTCAGGTCTTTAATAACAAGCTTAAAATTATAAAAGATATTAGAATCTAAAGGAAACAAACTGCTGAGTTGAAAGAAAGTACTGTAACAGCAATATGGATGAACCTGGATGACACTGTGTTCAATGAAACAAGCCAGGTACAGAGGAGCAAACAACCTATGATCTCACTCATAAGTGGGATCTAAAGAAGGTCATCTCATAAAAATAGAGGAGAGTAATCTCAATGGCAGGCTGGGAAACTTAGAGGAACTGGGGAAATAAAGAGTGGCTGGTCAACAGGTTTGGGTTACTGTTAGGAGGAGTAAATTCTGCTCATCTATTGCACAATAAAGTGACTATGGTTAACAATAGTATTTTCACTATTTTAATAGCTAAAAGAAAGGATTTTGAGTCTTCTCACCACAATGAAATGATAGCTTATGAGGTGACAGGCTAAATGCTTTGATTTGATTATTACACAATGTACACATCTATCAAAACACCACATCATACTCCACAAATATTTAAAATTATCGTGCAGAGTTTTTTTAAGGGAGAAATACACTGGTTTCACAGAGGGGGAAACTTTTTCTGATTTTAAATTTAGTAAAATACATCTAGTTTAATCTGCAGTTAGAAACAGATCCAGAAATGTCTAAACATTTACTGCCATTTTACTTATACCTTGGCACACATACACTGCTCCTTATTTTGTGAAGAGAAATATAGAGAAATGAGGAGAACCTACTTGATCTATTTGTTTCAATCTATGTTTAAGTCTACAATGAGATGATCTATACAGTGACTTAGCAAGACCCAATCTCAAAATAAAAAATAAGGATTGGGGATATAGCACACTATGAAATCTCTGGGTTCAGTAAGAATTAAGATGTGTGATAAGTACATGTACCTACTCCCTAAGGTGAATATACTAGTAAAATAAAATCAAATTAAGAATTTTTTTTTAAAGTAACAGAAAGATAGATAGATAGATAGATGATTGATTGATTTTAATATGCTGCTTCAGTTACCTGGGCTGCCAAACTGAAGTGCCACAAAACTGAGCAGTTTAAAACATTCGAAATTTAGCCAGGTGTGGTGCTACAGACACCTGTAATCCCAGCCCAGGTTGAAAGCTGAGGCAGTAAGATCATAAATTCAAGTCCAGCCTGGACAATTTAGTGACTCACCAAGACTCTGTCTCAAAATTAAACATTTTTTTAAAGGGTTGGGGATATAGCACAGTGCAGAGGCCTGAAGTTCAATCCTTAGTCCTAGAAAAAACAACAAAAACCAAGAAATGTGTTGTTCTCCAACAGTCCTGCAAGCTAGGAATTCCTACATCAGGGTGTCAGCACTCTGCAAAGTCTTGAGGGAAGCATCCTTTCTTGCCTCTAGCTTCTGG